CAGAGTCTCAGGCTGTTGCCCGGAGTAGACAGTTCACAGTTCACAGCAACCTCAGACTCATGGGCATAAGTGATTCTCTTGCCTCAGCCTCCCAAGGAGCTGGAACTATAGGTATCTGCCACAACACCAGGCTATTTTTTTTTTTTTTTGGTAGAGATAGAGTCTCACTGTTCATAGCAACCTCCAAATCCTGGGCTTAGGCTATTCTCCTGCCTCAGCCTCCCAAGTAGCTGGGACTACAGGCGCCTGCAGCAACACTTGGCTATTTTTTTGTTGCAGTTTGGCCAGGGCTGGGCCTGAACCTGCCACCCTCAGCATATGGGGCTGAGGCAGCACCCTACCCACTGAGCCCCAGGAGCTGCCCCAGGCATTTTTTGTTGTTGTTGTTGCAACTGGCATTGTTGTTTTAGTAGGCCCAGGCCAGGTTTGAACTTGCCAGCCCCAGTGCATGTGGCTAGCACCATTACCACTGAGCTATGGGTGCTGCCCAATTTTTTTTTTTTTTCTGAGACAGAGTCTCACTTTGTTGCCCTCGGTAGAATGCTGTAGTGTCGCAGCTTATAGCAACCTCAAACTCTTTGGCTTAAGTGGTTCTCCGAGCAGCTGGAACTACAGGTGCCTGCCACCAACACCCAGCTATTTTTTTTATTTTTATTTTTTTGGTTGCAGTTGTCAATAATTTAGCAGGCCTGGGCAGGGCTCGAATCTGCTAGCCCCAACGTATATGGCCAGCACCCTACTCACTGAGCTAGGGCACTGCCTGCTTCCTATTCTTATATAGGTACTTTCTCTCTCCAAAAAAATTGCTTCATCTATGGCTTGTGGACTCTTTTTGAGAGGCTCTTTCATCACTTCATTTAACTTTGAAAGATGTTGGAGGAGGCTGAGAACATGTGTTTGCTAATTGTCCTTTTACAGATTGCCTCATGCGCCAGAAAGGATTTTTATTATTGGTCTGTAGTTGCTACTGCTGGAGAAAGATTTCAGTCTGACCTTCCTAAGCTGCTGGAGGATGAATACTGCATGTGGCTGACAATGCAAATATGTGTCTTCCTTTTGTATTTAAAACAAAGTCTTTAGACTAACCAGAGTTTACTGTGATAGGAAAGTCATCCCTTCTCTCATTATGTAAAACTCAAGACACTGAGTTCTTTTTTTTTTTTTTTTTTTGCAGTTTTTTGCCAGGGCTGGGTTTGAACCCGCCACCTCTGGCATATGGGGCCAGCACCATACTCCTGCCCAGCTATTTTTTGTTGCAGTTTGGCCAGGGCTGGGTTTGAACCTGTCACTTGCACCACACACGAATAGTCCAATAGGAAAAAAAAAGTAGCATCACAAAGCCCCTCTCAGACAGCATCAGCATCAAAGAACAGGACTCAGGGTCAGGCGTGGTGGCTCACGTCTGTAATCCTAGAATCTGGGAGGCTGAGGCAGGTGGATTGCCTGAGCAATCCACTAGTCTCAGGTTCAAGACCAGCCTGAGCAAGAGTAAGACCCCATCTCTAAAAATGGCCGAGTGTTGTGGTGGACACCTATAGTCCCAGCTACTTGGGAGGCTGAAGCAAGAGAATCACTTGAGCCCAGGAGTTGGAGGTTGCTGTGAGCTATGAAGCTATAGCACTTTACTGAGGGTGACAAAGTGAGACTCTGTCTCAAAAAAGAACAACAATAAAAAAAAAAAAAAGAAAGAAAAGAACAGGACTTAGGCGGTGCCTGTGGCTCAGTGAGTAGGGCGCCGGCCCCATATACCGAGGGTGGCGGGTTCAGACCGGGCCGGCCAAACTGCAACAACAACAAAAAAAAGAACAGGACTCAAGACTGCTTCATAGGTAGGCAGGAAACAGAAAATGAAAGCCATTTATAAAAGCGGTTTATTTTATTTTTATTTATTTATTTTTTTGAGACAAAGTCTCACTCTGTGCCCTGGGTAGAGTGCTGTGGTGTCATAGCTCACAGCAACCTCAAACTTTTGGGTTCAAGTGATTCCCTTGCCTCAGTCTCCTAAGTAACTGTAACTATAGGCACCCACCACAATGCTCTGTTAGTTTTTCTATTTTTAGTAGAGATGGGGTCTCCCTTTTGATCAAGACTGAGCTTACAGGTATTGAACTCCTCAGCTCAAGCAATCCACCTGCCTTGGCCTCCTAGAGTGCTAGGATTACAGGCGTGAGTCACTGCACCTGGCCTATAAAAGTAGTTTTAAATGTGAGGATAGATTCTCACAGCTGGCCTCATGAAAGAGAACAAATATATCAAAGGGAACAACTGACAGACTAATAGAGTCCTAACCATCTGGTTGAGCAAAGAGCCAATGGTGGGAATACTGAGAAGCTTATCTGTTAGGAAAAAAGCTTGCTTACTGCCTCACTGGGAAAATTGAATAGTTTTTGGGAACACTGAGACACATGGTCATACCATAGCTGGCTGACTGGCTGTGCCAGCAAGAAGCTTAAAGAAGGGCTGCAATGATGCATCGGCAAAAAAGGCAAAGCAGAGCATACATGGTCTTCTTATTAGCTTGGAGTCTATGCTCTGGCTCCAATTTGGGAGTAAGGTAGAAAGGAATGGGAGTCATATGACTAGGATGTCTTATTTTGTGCTTTTTATAAGCAGGACTTAAGAGTCCAGTTCTGAAACATCAAGTTCAATACTGTGTCATGCTAACACCCCATCTGTACTTTTATATAATGCAGAGTGGAGTGCAGGCACTTTGGGAGAAGGAGAAATCAGGCCAAATTCAAGGAAAACAAACACACAAGGCTGTCTGCATTTCCAGTTTAGTCCATACCACAGAAAAACCTCCTCAGAAATAACTGCTCCAGGCAAAGGGAACTCAATTACTAAGGTAAATTTGTCCCAATGAGGACTCAAGTTTTAATGAGCCAAACAGCTTTTCAAATTAAGCTGAACTCAGGGTTTTTCTAATTGGCAGTTTAACATATTCCTAAGTTCTCATTTCTTCTTTTCAAAGATCAAAATGACTCTGACAAAAATTTTTAAAAATAAATGCCTTATCACTCACTGAAAAACAATAATTTACCAGAATTTTACCTATGTATCTTCTATATATTAAATCCCTTCAGATGGCATTAGTGCAGAAGGCATCACTCTATGAAAAGTTACTATCAAGCAATCCCAAACTAATTCCTCTCATCAGCCTGGCCCTTGTCACCCCTCTTAACAACTCACTTATAGAATCCCTCAGCCATCAAAGAGAAAGCAACTGGGGGTGGTGCCTGTGGCCCAAGGAGTAGGGCACAGGCTCCATATACTGGAGGTGGAGGGTTCAAACCCGGCCCTGGCCAAAAACTGCAAAAAGAAAAAAAGAAAAAGAAAAAGCAACCGCTTGGTACTAGCCACCATCTACATCACTCTGGGGAGAGTAGTGGCTTACCTGCTCCTCAGACAGCTGGGATATGTGATTCACAGCAGCGTAGGACTCAATTTTGGGGTTAAAGTGGTTGATGATGGCTCTGAAACAAAGAATTAACATTAGTATAGTACCAGATGGTGGAAGAGGTTAAATCTGTTATAAGAATTTACTATTCTTCTGGTTTAGAGTACTAGGGAATGATTATAATAAAGTAACTATTCTCTTGACTATCCTTCTGGTTTAGAGTACTAGGGAGTGATTATAATAGGGTAACTATTCTCTCATTGAACATGAAGAAGCCACACATAGGGGTAAATTGATAACTCTGAAATGAGAAAAGTTTAATGATTTATCAGACAGAGAAAAGAATCAAATATCTCTGTCCCGCAAATGAACTAAGGAAAAACGCACAACCAATTAAACAAAATCAAGAGTCCACCAGACAAGAAACAGAACCCAGGGAGCTGTCCACTAGGGGGCCCTGGTGCTTCCATCAGAAAGAAAAAAAGTCTTCTCTGACTTGGGAGAACAGGGTACTCAGAAAAGCTGCACCAACAGGTAGGCTAAACAAAGTCTCTGAAGAGAATGAGCTACATTAAAGCCCAGAACCCATCTTCATACTTGTTAGTAAATAGTTTCAAACCAAAATTTTATTTCTAGCTGTTCAAACCAAAATCTGAGTATCAATTTCTAACAGTTTCTCTCCATCACTTGCTCATATTCAAGATCACCAAGTCTTATCAAATCTATCTCTTGAAAATCTCCAAAATAACCTGGGTACAAGGGCATGTGCCTGTAGTTCCATCTAGTTGGAAGGCTGAGGTGGGAGGGTCATTTGAGCCTAGGAATACAAAGCTGCAATGTACTGTGCCTATAAATAGCCACTGCACTCCAGCCTGAGCAACACTGAAAGATTCCCAGCTTTGGCTTGGAGCCTGTAGCTCAGTGGCTAGGGCGCCAGCCACATACATGGGGACTGTTGGGTTCAAACCCAGCCTGGGCCAACCAAACAACAATAACAACTACAACAACAACAACAACAAAATAGCCAGGCCTTGTGGCGGGCACCTGTAGACCCAACTACTTGGGAGGTGAAGGCAAGAGAATAGCTTCAGCCCAAGTTTGAGGTTGCTGTGAGCTGTGATACCAAGGCATTCTATGGAGGGTGACATAGTGAGACTCGGTCTTGGAAAAAAAAAAAAAAGATTCCTAGCTCTTTAAAAAAATCTCTGGAATCTAAAATAAGTTTCCCTAAAATTAATGCTCTGTATAGGTCCTTGTAGTTTCTTATCTGGTGTAGCAGAAAGAGCACAGGTTTTAGACTAGAATTTCATATGAGTCCATAATGATACAAATATATTATTAAATGAGAAGAAGAGATATCTCTCTTTTTTTTTTTGAGACAGAGCCTCAAGCTGTCCTCCTGGGTAGAGTGCTGTGGCATTACAGCTCACAGCAACCTCCAACTCCTGGGCCCAAGTGAGTCTCCTGCCTCCGCCTCCCAAGTAGCTGGGACCACAGGC